TAACCATCCAGCAAAACATTTGGTCCCAAATCTACCAATCAACTAATTGATACTGGAAGGCAAGTAAGAAGTCATTATTCCTATCATGATTCACATGAAGATTCTTTTATTTCAGAATTCTTCACCTGTTGGTGTTGGTGTTGGTGTTGTAGGTGATGATGGAGTAAGGAATGAATCATCTGTGGTGGTTGTAAAATCAGGTGATGTCATCATACTGCTGGCACTGCTACTTGTGGGTAACCCAGGAATCATTAAATCCATGCCGAACAAAGCTGATGCAACTGATGGAGAGGGAATGCTGTGAGGAGAACGCATTGTAGTAGAGCCCAACATGTCAAAGAAAGATTTCGCAGATGCCGTACTCAGATTATCTGAAGGAGCTTCCTGAGATGAAAAGATTCTGCAAACAACAGGTTCCTCCTTCACTGGAGTTTTCATACCTACATCTAACATTTTATCTTGAAGTTTTGACCCAGTGTTTGCTGTAACCTGGCTAGATGTTGATATCTCTGGTATGATTCCCATGGATGCCAGTGGTTTACGGACAGATCCTTCATTGATTACAGTTGCTGAAACTGTAGTTGTGGTTTGGGTTGGATGGCACGTAGCTGCGAAATTTAATGGTACATTTGCTGACTGGAAAAGGTCTTGAGAACTTGCACTTTCTCGCACACTTGTCATCATGGCAGGGCCATTGCCAGATGAAATCTGATCAAAGAAACTTGCACCTGATGATGTAGATGTAGTCTGGGAAAAATACTGACTAAGTGAAGGTTTTTCTGGATCTTGTTTTATATTACTTTTATTCATCTTTGGCCTGTATTCAAGGGCAAATATCAACTTGTTATTGAAAAGTTTCTTCAGTTTCTTGATTCAATGCTGCTGTGAAAAAGAGAAAGTAAAAGACTACTGTATCTAACTAAATTCTATACATTTATATAATTAAAACTGCACACAAATTGCTTATAGTTTAATTTGAAGCAATTTTCCAGCAAAGTTAGTAGTAGTGGTTATAAGTGTGTTGGCAATGGACAAGATAGCCATAAAACACTAAAAAGATCAGACTGGAGGAAGATGATCATTTTACAAATGTGACAAAAAACACAGTCTCATTATTGCTCTGTGACCACAAAAGGACAAAATGCTGACCATGAGGTATTGTATCAAATATTTCTTTCTAGCCAACATTTCTGTTGCATGTCATATGGATATTTAAATGAATAGATGATGGATGGGAATAGTCAAGACTCAATAAACCCACTCACCAGTTTAGGGTGATGGGATGAGTTCAGATAGTTTGGGACGTTAATCCGCTACTGAATACCAAAATCCACCACAACTAATTTACTTATATTAATCTCTTAGTAGGCTCTGAATGAGATAATTTTGAATACTGACGGAATACAAACAAAATAAATACAATTAAAAGGCATTACTGCTAATTGCTCATTCACCTGAATGTGAATCTTCAGTTTTGTTCATTATGGTTTCAATTAAATTTGTTTCCCACAGTCAAAATATTTAAAACAACTCAGATTTTGGAAAATCATTTTTCTACACTAATTATGTTACAAATACACTTGAAAGTTGGTAAAATTAGTTTCAATGCGTTCGCCTTGTTCTGTATATTCTACAGATTCCAGATTGGCCTTCCTTGGGTATAGTACTCACCAAATACGTTATTGAACCAAAAATGACTATGACATAATTGAGGTTAAATACGCTAAGAAATTCAGGAGAATTGTTAATATGGCACCGGATAACAAAACAGCTATTCGGTTTGTATAGTCCCTTACCCTAAAAGATATAAATGATGTTATTTAATTACGCCATCCTTAGACCGTAAATGAATTAATAAATTAATTTTCGTCAGCGCCAATCACACAACGTATTTACTGTTTATGAAGGCCATCTTTCGAGTTGGTATATTCTGTGATTTCGTCACACACAGAAACATGATGGCGAAAGAAGTGTAGTGTGTGAGTGGAGAGCAATACAAAGGAACTCGTGTGACATTATATATTTATAGGTTATTTTTTACAATACATTTGTGGTGAATGCCGTCGAAATGAGGAGTTTCAGAGTATGTGGTGTTTCATCTGTATTTATAGCTGTGTCTTTGAAACTTGGAAGCATATACTAATGACAGCTTTGTAAAACAAATATTGTTTAGAAGTCAAGGTTCAATTGTAATGGTAAAATACGCATATGTACTAGAACATATTGCCAAATTTGTATGTTTATTATCATTAAAACCCTGTTCCACTGCTCTGGTTTTGTTTACATTGTTCATGTTGCTTCAATATCAGAAATGTTAGCTTTTTATAAATTTGTTGTACTAGTTCAGGCAAGAGGTATAAAAATTATTGCTGGTTCTTTTTAGTAGGGCTTCCCATGCTACATTTGTGTCATTAAACAATGCTATGGTTTCCAAATTATAAAATGGAAACTTCAACATGCTGTGTAAGATCACATATTTTGAACAGAATGTCATTTCTTTCTTTTAGGAAAGTTGAAATTCCAAGTGGTGGAACTGAGTTTGCAGTTTGCTGTCTAGTCATATACATCTGTGAGCTAACTCCAATATCTTAGGGTTAGAGGACAGAACAGTCTGTAGAAACTAATTAAAGATTTTGCTTCAATACTGTAATTGAACAATTTGGATCCAGAAGATGGCTCCACGGAATAAAGAGAATAATGGTGGAGGCCAGAGAAAGGGAGGCAGAGGAAGAAGAAGTGCAGAAAGAGAAAATGGGGACAACAATGAAGGAGAAATTGGAGGAGAAGATTATCGTCGACGCCGTGATCGCAATAATCAGGTATTTACAAAAATTCTACTTTTGGAAAGGGTCCAAGTTCTTTTCTGTTGTTGATTAAACATTGTCCATTTGGGAATATTATTGGATCCTGGTGTCCAGTGATTGATATCTTCTGCTGTTCCTCTGAACCTCAAGAATTGAGCAAACATCCAAAATATGGTTTCTATAACTGTCCTTGTTCCTGATGGTAACTGCATAATAATCACAGAACCAGATTTAAGCAGTCTTATAGCAAATTGTATCTTTACTGTCAAGAAGAAATGAATTATAGCATTAAGCTTACTTTAAATAATAAAACAAACTTTATTAAATTTGTAACTAATAACATGATTAACTAATATGCATAGTGCTTTTGTCAACAAGTTATGATCATCTAAGTTGGAAGAGTCATGTGGAACTCATTTCATCATAATTAATTCTAAAGTGGTTTGTAAAAAGCCTTAATTTTAAATATAGTTAGTAACTGTTAAAAAAGTGTACTGTTTATACAGACTGTTAATTATTAATGTGATATAATGTATGGTTACCCATGCAACAGTAATTCAGTGTTCTTTCTACAAAAGAAACTTATTATAATAAACGGAAGTCTTTTTGTAAATGATTCATTCCATGTTCTGCTACTAACCATCAAGTGTTTTTAGCTGTAATAACTTATAATTAACAAAATAGGAAATGTTTCTCACAAACTTCAGAGGTTCATACAGTCATTATGAGACAATCTTAAAACTTTGCATACCGTGTAGTGTATTAGAATATAGAGTGAACAAACCAGCAACTATTAACACTTTAATGGACACTATTACCATACGCGTTTCGATCTCAAGAGATGATGATCTCTTGAGATCGAAACGCGTATGGCAATAGTGTCCATTAAAGTGTTAATAGTTGTTGGTTTGTTCACTCTACATTATGAGACACATGATTTTAACAGACCACTTGTTAGACTTACCATGTATTGGAAAGTGGTATGCTATTTTGGGATAAAACTACTTTCCAAGCTCCTCAAAATCAAATGTTTTGTCCATTAACTTTAATTAATGGGTTGAGGGGGGGGGGAGAAAAAGGAAGCAGTGTTGATATGCACCTATGTTTGCATGAATGTTCTGATATGTAGGTATTTTAGTTTGTTTTCATTTTACAGTATTACAGGAGGAAAGATGTTCTGCCAAAACTTTTCTACAGCCAAGAAATCATCCATATCCAGTACCTAAAATTGTTGATCTTATTTAATGGTTAAAGTATATAGGGTAGAACTGTTTAGGGTAATAAACTTTTTTTTTGTATTTCTGTGAAGACTGATGTACTACATTTGTTTTTGTTTTTTTTCTCACTACAAGTTTCTACTAATATAACACTTTATATATTCACTGTATCACCATTTTCACTAGTGCCTTGCTTGAGATTAATGTTAGACTAAAGTAAATGTTATTAATTTCAATATGACCCTAACTTGGTGATATGGCATGTCAGGCAGTGAAGCGTAGCCGTGTGAAGAGCAAGCTCCGCACCCAAAAGACCCTGGAACGGGTAAACCAACTTAAAACAGAAAATGAGATGCTGGAGGAGAAGATTCGTATGTTGACAAAGGAACTTGGATTCCTGAAGGATCTCTTTTTAGCTCATGCTGGTAGGTGGATCTGTGATCAGCACGATTTGTTGTCGTAGATCAAAGGAATATAGAAACTGAATAGATTTATCCTTTACATCTTTGAGAAGTCCACATGCTTTATACTAGCAGCGCCCATCAATGCGTAATTTTGTATCAATATTGGAGTTTTGTATGGGTATCACACTGTTTTATCAGTTTATGATTGTTTTTCGTTGCTGAAGTAATGTATATTGTGCTGTTTTTATTTTCATTACAAAACTATTTTGATGATAGGAGGCTTTCACGGTGACTATGAATGAAGTACTGACTTCAGTA